GTAACGAAGCCCAATAGGCGCGCGCGATGAACGGATAGACCTTTGAGGAGCAACCACAGAGGGAAGCGTGCGGCGCAAAACCACTTACTCGGCACTAGAGATGAACCGCCCGGGCATTGCAGGCAGCGCGAAAAGCGCTGCCAAGGTGACCAGTCCTCCTTCTCCACAGAACACATGTCCTTCTCCTCCTCTGCTGGCTCAGTCTTTCCCCGTATTTTGCCGGCGGCGGTTACGTAGCGTCGCGCTCGGGGTGCTCGACCACGGCCGCCTGGATTCGACGATCTAAGAATTATGACGTGGTGCTTGTGTGTACGCCTGGATGAGCGTGGGCTGCTGCTTTAGCGTTTCGCTGCACCCATAAAGTCTGGAGCAAGCCTCGACAGGTCACCACGCCGCGCTGTATATCTCTGGCTTCGAGATAGTCACGACCAACACACGACAGCAACAGTTGGGAAGGCCAATATGGCGTCCGAGAAGAACAGGCCTATCGGATATATACTTCAGTCCGACTCGGGGCTGAAAACAGCGCTGGATTCTAAGGCAAGTAGGTTATCATTCTTTATTCTACTCTACTTGTCGCGTGTGCGATACGGATCGCGCTTGCTGGCAACGGGCTCGGTCGTGTTGTATATCGCACGCACGAAATGCATCGCGAAGGTCAGCTTCGGCGTCTGCAGTTCGCCTGTGCTTTGCGACTGCCTGAAAATCGGCCGCCCTTGCCGTCGGCCTCCCGTACGCTCGCTCATCGAGAGCTCGCCTGTCTTCGCCGCCGCGATGAGCTCCGTGCTGACAATATTGGGCTGAGACCTCGTCGCTGTGTTGGAGAGAGAGAGAGATAAAGATGCAAGGAAAGGCAGGGAGGTTAACCAGACGCACATCCGGTTTGCTACCATGCACTGGGGAAGGGATAAAGGGGAGAAAAGAGGTTGCAGAAAGATGAGAAGGTACACACAATCACGAGCACACTCGGGGAGCACACACAGTCTACAGGCGGTCACTCAGGTTTGTTGACTTAAGGTAGAGTAGCAGTGCTTTAGTTGCTTTCTGCACCACTGAGGCAGATGCCCATTGTCCTAGTATCTTCTGCACACAAAATGTTCCGGGGTCAAGTCGATTCAAAACCATCCGGAGCTGGCATCGCTGTGTGTCGCAGCAAGCGCAGCTGCACAGGACGTGTTCGATGGTCTCTTCAGCTCCGCAGAAGTCGCATGTAGGAGTATCTGCCATACCAATGCGAAAGGAGTACACCTTTGTAAATGGAACACCCAACCAAAGGCGGCATAAAAGTGTCGCATCGGAGCGCGAAAGTTGTGATGGTAGCTTTAGCTTGAGCGAAGGATCCAGTTCATAAAATTGACACCTTTAGAAGCTGGTAGACGACCAGAACGTGCGTGTGAGATCTCGAGCCAGCAGGTAAAGTTGTCTTGCTGCATCATTCCTTGATAGAGGAATCGGGACTACACGGGTTTCTTCATGGGTCGCTGTGTTGGAAGTAGTTGAAAACACATTGCGGGTTCTCGTAAAGAGCTTGGTTGTATGTCGCGTGCTGTAAGTGCACCAGCACGGGCTAGCGGGGCTTTCGCTAGCAACGGAACTCACTGAAAATTGGTCGCCTTTACAGTTGGCTTTCCCGTGAGTCGGTAACAAACAGCTCGGCACAGTCCGCTGGCTGCGGCGGTGGACTCGTGTTTGCGCGCTGCACTCGCTCGAGTTTGTGGAAAAGGGCCGCATTACCGTCGATTTCTTCGGTGCTAATTCCAAACCAGCTCGGCGCTGTTCGTGGCGGCGGCCAAGCGTACGCTCGCTCTCCTGTTCGAAGTTCGCTGGCGGCAGACACTCCGCGTGCAGTGCCGTGTTTGGTCTCGCGTTCGGTTGCTCGAGCTGAACGACGTCGCTCGCTTAGGATTCGCCGACTTGTTAGCAGCACGCTGGTTCGAGGAGTTGTGACTGCGGCCGCCGCTCCTGAACTGTTGCGCTACGGGGATCGAAATGAGTCTTTGACGATGTCTGACATCACGGTAAAATTATTAGCATGTCATATCTCACATATGTTTTCATTTCACCTTGCACGTATTTCTCACATGCATTTGTATTCATCCTCTGTCACGTGTGACCTAATACTTTACATACTTATTGTCAGCCATGGGCCCACACCGTGGTGAAGACTGTGCGCTGGCGTCTGCGATGCCCGTCATCCATCTCTTTCGTGAGAGCAGCTTCAGAAGGACTGTGCGAGATATGAAGGTAAAGTTATTTGTGTGTCATATTTTAACGCTTGTTTTTATATTAACGTGCACGTATTTGTCATATGCGTGCATCCTCATCTCCTGTGACGTGGTTAACTATTTTTACTATATTATTGTACGTGCAGCCGTGGAAACACAACAAGCAGAAGGCTGCGTGCGCTGGCGTCTGCAATGCCTGTGATCTATCGCTTCCGTCGGAGGAGCTCCCCAAGGAGTGAACAAGAATTGGCAACAAGACTAGACTTGTGCACTTCTCCATGAATTCACTTAAAAGAATCAAGAAACTTCGCGTATATGTAGAAAAATAAAAGATTTCAATGTCTCTTTTTTGTCTTTCGGTGTTGCCTTGACTATGAAAGCAGTTACGCATAGGTGGCTAACTACTTTTTCGCGTTTTCTTTCCTGCGAAATTTGTTGCTCACTGCACAAAAAAAAAACAGGCGAAAAAAGTGTTAGGCCTGGCGAAAAGTAAACAAAAAACGTTTGAACTGAGGACAAAAAGTTCATCCGATTGTAGTATTTGAGTGGATCAACCATTCGTCCGGCAAGGTGCAACTGTCAGGATTAACGGTTGCCCGGTAAAGTGTAAATTTGGGGATTAACAGTTGCTTTATAAGGTGCAAATGTGACGACTAAATTGTGTACGAGACGATATCATGGGTCGAACAACGCTTTATTGCCTATAGTGACGAGTTTAAGTAGGCCAGGCGGGGGACGTCACGCTTACGTAGGAGCGATAGCTTGCGCTCGCTATCGCGGCCGTGCCAACTCGGTTACATCTTCCTTTTCTTGGGGCAATATAGGTCGCTCTGGCATGGGGTACCGACGAGGCTCGCGACGTTCCCGAGTGCTTCTCCGTGGTAGTGGCGGCTCTGGAACGGGACCCGAGCCTGGCAAGCCTGAGGAAGGTGTTGTGGTAGTGTCGGGGCATGGTAGCTCTGGAACCTCCCGGAGATGTTCCCGTGTGCGTCGCATTTCTCGGCCATCTTCTGTTTTTACCAGTACGGAGCGTTGAGCTCCCGCTGATCCCAGCACAACGACCTGGGACCACGTCCGTGTGTGCGTGTCGTACAACGAGGCCCTCTGACCCGGTGAGAGGGCGCGCAGGTCCCGAGCACCTCGATTGTAGTAGACCTTCTGCTTGTGGCGAATCTCCTGGAGACGGGAGTGCACCTTCCTGTTGGGCAATGGTGCCGGCTTCAGGTGGCAGGAGGGAACCGGGAGCAGTGTTCTCGTCTGTCGACCCATCAGCCTCTGCACAGGTGACATCAGAATAGCATCACGTGGAGTATTGCGCAACTCAAGCAGAGCTAAATGGAAGTCCGGGCTGTTATACGAACACTTCTTCAGCAGCGTTTTCGCTTCTTCAACTGCCCTCTCGGTCATGCCATTTGCGCGAGGGTGATAAGGGCTTGACGTCACGTGGGTGACTCCTAGTTCATGCAGAAATTCACGGAACTCTTGGCTACTAAAAGGGGGCCCGTTGTCACTGCAAAGCTTCACTGGTAAACCGTGGACAGAGAAAACTTTCGCGCACCACTCCTTCAAGTGCCGGGCTGTTGTGTATCGCAACTCCTTTATTTCAACATAAAAGGAGTAGAAGTCTACAATTAAAGCAAACTCTTTACCACCGTGATGGAATAAGTCCATGCCAACCACTTCCCATGGCAGACTGGGGACATCATGCGACAGTAGAGGCATCTTAGTGTTTTGCTTTTGGTGAGCCTGGCAAACTTTGCATGATGCTGCAACTTGGTCAATGTCACTCGACATGGATGGCCAAAACATGACACTCCTAGCCCGAATTTTCATCTTTTCCGCCCCCGAGTGGGCCAGATGAAGAAGCCGAAGGATTTCAGCTCTCTTAGCGCTTGGTACGGTTACCTTGTTGCTGCGAAAGACGAGGCCATCTTGTGTATGCATCTCTTCTCGATACGCCCAAAATGGCCTGGCACATGCTGGGACGTCCTCTTTGTTTTCCGGCCAGTCAGTCTCTGCATAGGATCGGATGTTCGACAGAGCAGGATCCTTGGCGGTTGCCACACGTAGTTCCTCGAGGCGACGCTCAGAAGCTGGAACAAGGGCAATGACGTTAACATTGAAGCGCTCGGTTTCTTCCGTCAATAACGCCTTGCTTGGAAAACGAGAGAGCGCATCAGCCAAAAACAGCTCTTTTCCTGGCTTGTACAGTAGATTAATGGCGTATTGCTGCAATGTCCGTCGCATTCGTTGCAGTCTAAGTGGGCACTGGTGAAGTGGTTTACTGAAAATTGGCACCAACGGACGATGGTCGGTTTCCACCGTGACCTCAGATTGGCCGAAAATATAGTCGTGAAATTTTTCGCAGCCATGCACAATCGCCAGAGCTTCCTTTTCAATCTGCGCGTACCGCGTCTGAGCATCGCTGAGCGATCTAGACGAGAAAGCGATAGGGCGGCCGTCTTGTATCAGAATGGCGCCAACGCCCATGTGGCTGGCATCAACAGAGAGGGTGACTGGCTTTTTCGGATCGAAGTAAGCAAGCACTGGCGCTGTTACTAAGGCTTGGCGCAGCTCATTGAAGCTGCATTGCTCTTTTTCTGTCCAGATTCAGGCAATATCTTTGCGCAGCAATGTTCTAAGTGGTGCGGTGAGTACAGACATTCGAGGAATGAAGCGCTGCACGTAATTCATCGTTCCGAGGAAGACTCAATTCCGTACTGTTACTTGGCGCTGGCATGTCCAAAATGGCTTGGACGCGATCGGGTCCCAGGCTCAGTTCTTGCGTGGTGAAAATGTGTCCCAAGTAGCGAACTTGCTCCTGCAAAAAGACACATTTCTGCGAGTTCAGACGGAGGTTGTGCTCACGGCAGCGTGCAAGCACCCCGGTCAAGTTGTTGTCATGTTCTTCCTTCATTGTGCCCCAGACTAATATGTCGTCCATTACAACCGCTACTCCAGACAGGCCCTCCAAGAGGCGGTGCATGGCTGCTTGAAATATTTCCGGGGCGGAAGCAATTCCAAAAGGCATGCGGATAAACCGATAGCGCCCGTAGGGCGTGCTCATTGTGCACAATCTGGAGCTGCTGTCAGAAAGTTTTATTTGCCAGAACCCGGATGTTGCGTCCAACGAAGAAAAATAGTTAGCTCCAGCTAGTCGTTGCGCGACCTCTTCTAGAAAAGGCATAGGGTAGTGTTCACGCAGAATAACCTTGTTAAGCTCCGTTGGGTCGAGACAAATTCTTACTTTATCACCTTTAACTACGGCTACCATATAGCTTGACCATTCTGTTGGTTCGGTTACCTTGGTTATGACGTTGTGCTCCTCCATGCGTTGAAGTTCGGCCTTTACTTTTTTCTTCAATGGCGACCGGAACCCTTCTGGCTGGCACAACACCGACGGCGCCGGGTTTGAGCTTCATTTCGAACTCAAAATTCTTCAGCTGTCCCAATCCTGTGAAAACATCGGTGAAGGGCTGAGCCGCCGGGTAGAGTTGCTGCGTCTCGACGCTATCAACGCGATAAATCAAGCCAAGGCTTTCTGCTGCTGCTCCGCTGAGGGTCACCGGCATGTTTTGCTCAATGACGAAGAAGGTTTCATCGTGCTGTTTATCGTTCACGGATAGCGACAACTTTACTTTAAACTGCGCAGTCGTTTTGGGGCCGAAAAAACTCGTTAACGTGGCTCGGCAGGCTTCACGAGTCTTTCTCGAAAGCGACAAAACATCTTCCTTTGAAATCACACAACAATTTGCCCCAGTATCAAGTTTGCAGACCATCGGACGGCCTTCAATGGAAACTGTCGCGGTCCACTGGTCGCTAGCGAGTGCGTTCACGGTTAAAGCGTCCAGAAAAAAATCTGACCTTTCGTCAACATGTAGCTGTCGTATTTCCTTGCGCTTTGCATCTTCGCTGTGCAAGAAGGATGACTGCGAGCATGCTTGGGCGAAATGATTCAATCCTCCGCATTTCTTGCACGCTTTCCCTGTTGCAGGGCAGCGGCTGCCGCGGTGAACTTTGTAGCCACATTTGTTACATGGCTTTGTTACTCTGGCCAACACATTTACGGCTGCAGTTTCAGCGCCTTCAGTGGTGCCACGTATCTGTCGAAACTGCTCCTCGCCTTGCTCTTGGATGCGACAGATTTCGACTACTCTTTGGTAAGAGGGGTTTTCAGAAATTAACTTCTTTTGCAGTCCCTTGTCCCGGATACCGAGTATGATGCGGCTACGAAGCATGCGCTCTTCTAAGTCTCCAAAATCGCAGTGTTGGGCTAGCGTTCGCGATTCGACAAGCCAGTCATTGAAACTTTCGTCCTCTTTTTGGTCTCGGGAGCCGAAGCAAAACTCGTGGTAAGTGAGGTTCTTCGCGGGCTGGTAGAAGTCTTCAATTTTTTTAATTATAAGGGTTACATCGGTTGTGTCCTCTCCTGGCTCAAACTTGAACGAAGCGAACACTTTTCTAGCCTCTTCCCCAATGGTCACTAAAAGCGTCGCCGCCTGCACTTCTTTTGGTTGCTTGTTCAGCTGAGTTGCCGTGGAAAACAGTTCAAACTCACTTTTCCAGGTCTTCCACCCAAGCCAAGCGTCTCGCGATGTGTCGAGGGGCTTCGGAGGCGGCAGGAGCGTTGTCTGCAATGCAGGCGGTGTCGGCAACGTAGGCGGTGTCGTCATGCTGGCTGTTTTCCGCTGCCACCATGTGTACGAGACGATATCATGGGTCGAACAACGCTTTATTGCCTATAGTGACGAGTTTAGGTAGGCCAGGCGGGTGACGTCACGCTTACGTAGGAGCGACAGCTTGCGCTCGCTATCGCGGCCGTGCCAACTCGGTTACATAAATGTTAGTTCTTTGGGGTGAAATGTGGGACTAAAGGTTACTCACCAAAGTGTAAATGTGAGGACTAAATGTTAGTGATTTGGGGAGACTAACTGTTAGACCTGGTGCCGTTAGTCCTTAAGGAATTAATAATTGTGGCAGCCCCATTAATCCCCAAAAGGACGAACCACACACCCTTTCAACACCCTTTTGGCTTAGAGTGTAGTTTTGATGGGGCCGCCGCGGCAACCGTTGTCCGTGACCACTTCGAACGAAATAAGAGACGAACGTTGTACAAAGAACACAGAGGGGCTCGAACTCTGGGTCCCTTGTGTGCCAGCCCAGTATTCTGCCACTGAGCCACGCTGGTGCTTAGGGTATGATACCCACTACAGGCAGAATTCCTTATAATTCCTCATCGCAGTCAGCCACTGCATGAACAATTGGCACAAAATTCTTTGCAAGGTTTAGTGGTACCACACTTTTCAGAAGAATGGTTAAGGATACATAGTGATCGCTGGCCGACTGCCAAGAAATTATTTTTATTATTGTCGTAATGGGTACCCAGCAAGTGTACTTGTAGCAGTTACCCAATAAGTGTTTAGAGAAGGTTTTAAAGAACCACTCTTTTAGCGGTCGATGTGACTTCGCTGTGACTTTGGCGTAGGCCTAGCATTTTAGGGGCGAAGCTCTTTAGGGCGTAGGTCTTTACACCCCATGGGGTTTGTTTTCAGTGAGGTACGTAGCCACAGGTGGCAGATAACCGCCCTAGGGCAGATGTGTGTCACCGATGGCGGTAGTTGTATGTGGAACTAGATGGCGGTACTTGTAGTCGATGATGCTTGTATGTGATAAATTATAAACATAGTACAAGAATGCACCGTTCGTACTCGTTGATGATTTGAACGTCGATATCGCAGACACGACCAATAATTGGCATATCCAACATGTGGCTTCTAGATATGCACCCAGGTGTGTACCGTATCACTTAATGAAACCACCCTCAATCCGGGGAACATGCATTAGCCTAGTAGTTGCAAATTTTCCACTGCAACCTATACAGGAACCGCTCACCCTTCTTCTTACAGACCACAATGTCGTCATAATGAAGGGACATCGCAAGCGCTCCATTGTCTCTAAAGACAAATGAAAGTTTCTATCTATATATGCACGCATAGTGTATCTCACGATGTCTTGAGATCATGATCGACTGGACGAATTACACTCGGAAGATTCACGGTTTTACCGGTGATTTTCTCCGGAACTTCTCCCAATCGTCATCATTCACCCCGTGGATATGCTCTAGTTTTTGCACCTTTCCTATGTATTTGACTTAATTGGTTTAATACAACAAGAAATATTTGCACGGATTGTAAACAAAATTGCGCTTAATCTGGGTTTATTTTGTGCCGACTAGTTCATTGTTACCTCTGTAGCATCTGCAAAGTACACGAAGATGACTTCGCTGGATGCAGCGGCCGCTTTTTGCTGAATGAGTGCGCTGCTAAATCATAAAGAAGTAACTTCTGTGGCATTTTGTAGCTTGGGCTTGTTTTGTGTATACATGTACGTTGCTTTCGTGCGTGCTTCTTAGTGTTTAAGCAGCGTATTTAGGCATTAAGTTGGGACAGTTGGTTCTTGATTCGAGCTGGAGCAGCACGTTGCATGGTTTGTGCTACTTGTCGTGCTTTGCATTCTATTCCAAGTTGTAGCTACCGCATTCGTCGCATCGTTCTTCCAGCGTAACATCGACATTTTATGTGCTGGTTGATGTTATCATTGCATAGCGTTTTCAAAATGCTGAATGCAAGAAATTGTTGACAGCTTATTCAACCACAACGCTCAACCGTGATAAAAATGTGCCAACGTAAGCGTCAACATGGGTGAAGCCGTGTCATATATCGTCAAAGCTGCCAAACACTGATAGAACGTGTGCAAGTCCTGAGATATTAATCATCATCATCATCAACATTATCATCCTCATTATCATCATCATCAGCCTGACTACACCCACTGCAGGACAAATACCTCTCCCATGTTCCTCCAGTAAACTAGGTCCTGTGCTTGCTGCTGCCACTTTATAGACGTCCGACTCTGAAGATATGCGAACACGCAGTGCCACCTGTCAACGCAGTTTTGAGTAGTGCGAAGCCCGACTCCCTTGCGCAAATTGCTCGGCAACCAGGTGCAACTATAATGCAAAAAACAACAATTGTGCTTAATATTAGGGGTAATTGAGCATTGAACTCTTAGAAAAAGAGCTACCAGTTTTTCCGCTAGTCAGGCGCGTCACCGAACCGCTGTGAAGTGCTTGCTGGTTCACTTGCCAGAACGACGGCGAAAAGAAGAGCAGACGCAACATCTCCGCACTCTACGAAAAAAGACCCCAGCCGACGCTACAGTTGCGTTGTGAATAGCTACAGACGTTAAGGACTTGGTTTTACTGTTTTCCGCAGCTTTCGCAAAGCGGAACGCCGAGAGCACTGTGCATGCGCTGTTGTGTTCGGTAAGCGAATCACTCGCGTTGTCTACAGCCGTTCGCATGAGACAGTGTGAAAAATGGCAGCATATTCACGGAGGGAGTGATGGAGAGTGGGGCGAAGCATCCGTCCGTCCATTCGTTCTTGATCCCATCCGTCCATGCGTTCGTCCATGCATCCGCCCCTGCGTCCGTCCATACGTCCATCCGTCGGTGCAGCCACCCGTGAGTCCATCCATGCATCTGTTTGTGTGTCCGTTCGTCCATCTATTCAACACTGCAAGTACCACCGTCTCGCTTCTTTTTATCATATATTCCCGATATAGAAGCACAGCCATCCAGCGAACATTCCAAGGACTAAGCGAGAGGTGGCGCATTCACACTTTCTTATGGCTTGCGCCTCGTGTCTACTTCCCACGTTTAACCACCCCGACTTCATGGTATAGTTATACTAGTTCACTGTATTCATGACACTGCGGCCCAACGCTCGCTAAACCTTTCTAAACCCAAGGAGGTTACGCCCAGCGGGTAGAACGTAGCAACCCTTTCTTGTCAGATAGTGCTCAATGTACATGCCAATGGCTGCTAATGGGGAATGAGAGACAGGAAAATTCGGTTTTTACTTTCTTACGGTTTGCGCTTCGTACCTACTTCCCACCTTTAGCCACCTTGAGTTCATGGCATATACTACTTCCTTGTAGTTATGGCACTGCTGCTCAATGCTCGCTAAACCTTTCTAAAACCAAGGAGTTTACGCCCAGCCATTTCTTGTCAGATATTGCTCAATGTACATGCCGATGGCTGCTAATGGGGAATAAGAGACAGAAGAATTCGGCTTTTAGTTAACGCATACGCTACGAATTTTTCGTTGTTCAACAACGCACTGGAGAAATCTCCAACCGGCACCACCTTGCAGGTCAAAACGTAAGACTGGTTATACACTACGACTACGACTACCACTACGAGGGACGAACGGGTGCCGCTATAAAGAGCTTCGCCCCTAATAAGTAGGTCTCCTCTTATTGTTGTGATTAGCTTTGATATAAGGAGACCGTAGTAACTTTGATTATAAAGCTTAACAAAGCCACACCCAAGTTGCACACCGTGCAGCAGTAGACAAGTGACCCGAACGATATACATAGCACATGCCGCGACTGCCGATATCCTGAAGCTCCACAGCAATACGCCTCAGGGCTTTCGAGGCTCCAAGTTCTGGCTTTATCTATGAAATGAAACATGCACGTCATACAGGTAAATCACTAAATGATCGTGACCAAAATAAGTTTTTTTCCTTGCCATTGGTCTCCGCGATTGCCGGAGCTATCTCGGAGGCCTCGGTTTTGCTCACCGTTGTGCACCGAGAAAGTTGTGGGAATTGAGGCCGGCCCGCTGCCTTGGCGCGGGCTTTGCTGCCTCTTTCTCCGTTCTCATGTCCCGACATGTCTCCCCTCCTCCGCTGCCTGCCGTGCTGGGAGAGCGGAGTGACGTTTAACCACCTCACCCGGTAGCGGATGTTGACTGTGGCGCCGCGCGCGCGGTCTCTCGAGAGGCTTTGCACAGGCGCGCGTTGGGGGGAGAGAGAGAGGCCCCTCCAGAGACGACATGGGTGTAAGCATGCTTTTCTTTTCCGTCCGTCAGCTCCCTGTGGGGCACGTTCAGTCTTCGCCAACAGCGCCTTGCACCCGCGGCGGACGCTTACCTGTGTCGCCCCCCCCCCCTTCCGAACGCTAGGCCGAAGGGTGGTACGGTGTCCTAGTGCGTGGCCTAGCTACGCCGACTCGTCTCCCTCCGAAGCCAACGCGAGCACCTTTGCCCCCGCTCGAGCAACCGGGCCTTGGTCCTGGTGTCTCCGTGGATCACCTTTACCACGGAGACGTGCTCGTGGCACCCTGTTGAATACTTTGGGCCTGTGGTGTGCCTAAGCTCATTTGCTTTGCCGCTGCATCTTTGCAACGGGCTGTACTGCGTTTTAGTGTTGCCACAGAAAATAAAGTGTTGTGACTTTAAGCAGTATCGTGTTCTCGCCACGGCGACGGTTGACGCGTGCCCTGCGGCTCGCTAAGACGGGACCCATGCTAGTGGCCATACTCCTTCGGGATACGTCTCACTACACTGGCGCCCAACGCGGTATTAAAAGCTCTAAACTTTTGACTGCTCTTAGTGAGTCAGTTCACCTGCGCGATTTGGGCTCGTTGCATGCCGCGTTGCACAAAGAGGCCACCGCCTCTATCGCCGGGCACCCTTCGGCGCTCGTCCGTGTCGTCACCCCCTTTTGTGGTGGATACACAACTTACGTGGTAGCTGATGCGCTATCTCATGCCCCCTGTTTGCCGAGAACCTGGATTTCGGTGCGACGGCTGCTCGTGGTGCCACATC